AAGTACCCTGAACGGCTTTTGTCCGAATATTGTATTGCCTCGACATCCAAGCCAACACAGGTTCCACTGTGCGAGCATTTTCACCACCTGGCAACCATCATGATGAAAACAAAGGCCAAAAACTCTCAGAAAACGGTACTTTGAGATGGTTGTTGACACCCCCTGAACCGTGTAACAAGATTACCCTGCATATGCAACACATTTAAATTTGGTTGTTTAGGATTTCTTTAAAGTTAAGTTTGTGCTGTTTTTTTCGATTTTAGCTATTTTCAACGGCTTTTCGACCAGCATTCCACAGCAGCTCGCGCAGAGCCCATAGAAATACATGGTAGAGTGGTGCGCGTCTTTAATAGCGTCTTGTGACTTAGCTCCGCCCCGACAATGTTGATAGCTTGGCCAAGCACGTTGATGAAAGAAGCAATATGATTTGCTGTTGGTAAACTGATTCCAAACTGTGAGGGCATTGTCACATACACATATTCCTAATGAAATACTTCAAGGTGATAGTGGAGTGCTTCACCAGAACATTCACCTTGAAAATTCAAGATGCATAAAACACATGTCATATAAAGATGTCATTTGTTTAGTTAACAGGCAAAGATAGATAAAACCAGCACTGTCTCAATAATTCAGTCTGATAGAGTATACGTACCTAGTTTTGACTAAAGAATCTTTAGTCTGTTCAGCTAAATCCTCACTTAATTTCTCATTCTTCTCTTTTTTTTTCTTCTCTTCTTCAATGCGTTTGTCGAGAGATTTACATACTGCTGTTAAGGTTCAAACTCCTACATTTGTATTTGTTTATTCATTCATTCATTCATTCAACTGATATTTTTCTAGTAGAAATGCTTCCATTTTTTGGCATCATAGTTCAAACAAGTCATTTTAAATTGAAAAACTGAAGTGAAATACGGTAGTTACATCAAGTCGTGTATAAATGGCACAATTGTGAAATAGACAAATAATAAATTTAGCCAGTCAGTCAGCTGTCTTGAATTCCCTGATGTATTTACCATATCTTGACTATTGACAAAACTGTCAATCAAGTAAGGTAGCCCATACATAGACTTGCTTGCAGTCTGTTGTGATTCCAATGAAAATTCTTGAAAAATAATTATATAAATTGCGTAAAAGAGGGGTGAACACGAAAGTCCTGTAACCGCAAAATCCCAACAAACTTGCAATCAGTGTAAGTGCTCTCACAGTAGCGCTCGCTGCACACATTCTTCTGATAATATTGCACGTTTTTACACGGTTAAAATTATTAGAGTCTGTTGGAGCAGTAAAAGTCAAAATCTTCTTCATTATCTCTATTGATGAATGTGTTCGATCGTACACAAACTCTTGATGAAAAGCATTTTCTACCATGTTTTCTTGCACGATTTGACCTGCAATAACGTCCTTTGACCTGATAGTTCAAGTCTGTTATAAACAAATTTCTCTGGGAATTCCCGAAGGCATTCTTAGTAACACAATGTGAAAGTGAATTGTCAATGTCGAAATACAGGCTGTTGGAACTGAAAATGGCACAATTTTTTTTTAAAACATTTTTACAGCAGACTCAAGATATTTACATACACCTAGCTCCCACACCCGGTAGGTAATTACCAAAGGACTTTGCAACATCCCCAGGCACTTCTAAGATACTCCAATGACCGTTGTAGATGCAATAAAGTTACATACACGCCTACATGACAGTTAATCAATGCGGAATGGAATGCCTTTGATGTTTGGCCATGAGGAACGAGGAGGTAGTTGGACTATTCCATTGCTTTGTAGATACAAATATTATTGCTGTGTAATATAATACGAACATTATTAAACTGGGAATAAATAATAATAAGAAATGATAAATCTAAATTCTTTTGATCTTTTCCTTGTTAAGATGTTGTCAATGGATTTATATATTTTTTCTTGTGTAACATTCAGTCGACGAAGGCCACTATTCCTCTTGGGACGTATCCAACCGATGCGTCAGAAATGCCGCACAATCCCGTGAACAATTGCCCTCGTTAGTGCAACTTCCTCCGTCGACGATCATTCGCAAGAGGCGAATAATCTTTATCTCAGTGTCTTCATCTAAACGCCTTGACATAATAGCAATACCCCAGGTAATTCAAAATCAGAAACTGCATTCAAAACTAAACTGTTCTCACGTGGATAATTGGGATAATTTCATTATATGTTAGGGGCGTTTTTAAATATTTGTATCAACTAGGTTTATTATTTTTGCGAAATGTTCAAAATAGAATTTATTAAATGAACCAGCATATGTATGCATGAAATAATAAAGTGTTCAATATCAAAAATGAGTAAAACATGATTGTTTGATGAATGTTTGACAGGACGCTTACACGTTGTAATAGTTGAACCCATCTGAAACCCTCAGGCCTGGTCCGTTGTTTTGATTAACTGTCACGTAGGCGTGTATGTAACTTTATTGCATCTACAATGGTCATTGGAGCATCTAGGAAAGTGTCTGGGGATGTTGCAAAGTCCTATTAATTACCTACCGGGTGCGGAGTTAGGTGTATGTACATATCTTGCGCTCGCTGTAAAAGGTAAACCAAATATGGAATGAAGTATTTACCGCCTTTCACATTTGTTAATAGGTTGTTGTCAAAGCATTCATGCACGGTTATTGTGGTCTACGCATAACATATTTAAGGCGGTCAATATCCATGCTGTATTATATAAATACAATTACCGGTATTCGGAAAAGTCAAACAATGATTAATTAAAGACCAGGTTTTATGAATAGACAATCAAAATTTAGGATATTTTGTTGGGGGATGGGTGCTTAGCCAATTGTAAACCCCAAACTAGAAATGTCCCAAAAGTGGGGGCGAGTGCTTAGTCAAGCTTGGGCACTAAGCCAGTCAAGTACAGTATATGACACAGAATGATATTTTAGATACGCATAATCTTTATCCCACATGAACCAATGTTAAATGGCTCAAACATCATGGTTTTTAAAAACACACACAGACACACACGCACATATGGTAACCCCTAAAGATTCCATTATGTGTTTTGCACACAACAGTAAAAAGCCACTGGGTAAATGTCATACCTGTGTTTTTACACAAACAATTATTTAGTCAGTACATGCACAAACTCAAGTCTCCAACTTTAAAAAGGATATTCACTCTCTTTCAACTGGTCTTTCGAATGTGCTTGTATTTTTTGGTATTCTCCGTTAGCAATCAGTTCCTGATTCTGTATTTCTTCCAAACTATTGTCATTTGCTATTAACTTGGCTCGTTCCTCGTTCAGCTTGGTGTAACGCATAATATCATCCTTCATTTGCTGCTGCTGACTGCATTGTAGTTGATGCAATTCTCTATACTGCTGGCCGAGATGCTTGATAGCATCAGCTTCTTGATTTAACCGTAGGTGTTCTGTCAGTTCTTTTACGAACACCATTCCTTCTTCAGCATAGTCAGTCATATTGCTTATTGAACTGCAATAAATACATTCATGAGAACATTTTTGTATATACAAGAAATATTGTCACAGACATTGTGTGAGGTAACGTTAGTGGAGTAAAATGGTGCACATGACACTAAAACTGGGGGAAAACAGTGTTTTAGTTGTACATCTAGTTGGAAAAGAAACACCAAACACTGATTTCAGTAAAAACAATATCCTAAAATATGTTTTTCTAGCTTTCTGGTGAATATATCAATAATTCTGGCATGAAGGAATTCAAATTACTAGTATCAATGCCATAGAACACAAAGGACCTAGCTAGTTTATAAAGTTAATCATTTATTGTATAAATGTCTTGACAGTTTTTAGAATTGTATGCTACTGTATTAAACACAAATCACTCATGTTCAATCTAACTGAACATTTCATTCCTATTTAGGGTTATTAAACTAATTAAAATAACCACACTATTTTGAAACCTTTGAAAGTTGTGAACAAAATGACAAAAAAAAGAACATGGTTTTTAGCAAATGATAGTAAAACGGAGTACAGTGAAACCAAGCAAACTAGAAAACTGCAGCTGGGGACTATAAACTACAGGTAGGTAGGTGGTGGCAGAAGATAGATGTGACCGAATTTCCTTAAAGAATAAGGGAAATATGAATAAAATTAGCCCTGTGTGCATGTCTGTTGTTCCGGCTGCTACACAGGGCTAGAATAAAATATGTGCAAAGAACCAAATTTCTCACCACTCCCTCTGATAAACGGGTACCCCCTTTATTGTTGTGATGTCGATCTCGAGAGAATTTTTCAATATCTTCCTTCCACTGTATTGAAGTATGTAATCAACGAAAAGAATACAATCGGTATCGCAACAAACTGAAGACCACTCAGGCTGGCATTCTCTGATTTATGATTTAGTAAATATGGACGAAAGTGTTTTGACTCCAGTGAGGAGTCATCGATGACACCTTTCGCATTATGATCAGTTCCAGTGTAAAATAAATCACGTGTAGGATACTATAAGTCCTTAAACGAGATGAAAATGCGACGATACATACCGTAAATAGACAGAGTATTTTCGATTTGTTCAAAATTAGCGCCGTTGCCGTAAACTTTCGTAACGACAATTTGTATTGGTTAGATGGTATATTTGCATAAAACGGTATCCAATCATTTCACCCGTTGTAAAAGTCAGCTGTTTACGACAATGTTTACAGTCAGAGTCATGTGAGGGCGCAACACATAATAAGGCGTAACAAATGTAATGCATGCATATATGCGGTGCCTGGAATTAAGATTCGAGAGATTAGTTTCGAATCAGTTGAATGAAATGTATGAGATTACATTCGCTAGTTAATAAGACATATATAAATGGCAAAAGTTCAAGCAATTTATACAAGCAGATCAAATAAATGTTTTGTTTTTTTTATATTTTGCACACTGAACCCGGAAGTTAATTGCCAGGTCGAACGCAGTTTCAAGCAAGCGTTTTCCATGAATAACGGAAACGATGCCTAAATTTCTGTTTCCCGAATATTCCCGCTGAGATTGCTTCTGTAGAGTCGTTAGTAATACGACTTAAAGTCTCCGGTAAGTTGAAATTGTTGTAAAAGAACTGAATGATTGTATTATTCAGCATGATAACACTGCGATATTTATTTGGACTTCGTTTTCACTCTGTCGTCTACAGCACTATACAATAGTCATTGCTTGTACATGAATATTGTTTACCTTGGTTCAGGTGTTTATTTTCTGTTTTAATATTAAATGTCGACAATGGTCTATGTCGACGAATTTCAAAAGTGTGATGGCGAATATGACGTTGTTTTGCTTGAGTGCAACAATAGACCTTAAAAATACACATGTATTTTCACGGTCTAAGCTACAACATACATTTCTCTAAATAATTAAGGGAGTGAATCATTCATAATTATAGGGGGTTTTCAACTCGCTTTCCTGACAATGGTTTTGTATAGCTGTTTCAAGCAAGTTAATATCACATAAAATGCCCCCCCCCCCAAATACCCCCACATCTGCCTTCGGATTAATACAAAACAGTAAATTAGTTTCACTTTAATTTATTTTTAGCTTGTGCCCTTTTTTGAATGGAATTGAACAATAAAATTTTCTAAATAAGCAAGGTCATATAAATATTCATCAATATTTGTTTAATTGTTATTTTTCACAAAATGTTCAATTTCAATGATTCATTTCTGACCTTGACTAATACTAATGTAAACATAAAAATTCCAAGGCCAATGCTTATCTGCACTGTTCCTTGTACAATAAAATATCAACATTGGCAGCTGACTTGTTGACTATTTTGATGTCTGCATTAATTGTGTCTGGAGATTATTATCTTATTTGAACTAGTTTAATAATCAAACCATTTTATGAGGGTTTGACATATGGCTGAATGCTTGCAGCATTTATGTAACACAATGTACTTGATTGCTTTATTTATAACTTATTGTTTGTGTGTTTCTAGGGTCATCAATTTAACTACTGTGGAATATATTTGCTTCTTTAAATTGCATGTGATTTATGATAAAACTGTGAAATAATTATTATGTGTCATATTCCATATTGTAGTTTTAGTGAAAATAAAATCCCAATGAAATACTAATGCTGCCGGGAAAGAAAGCATCAGATGGTATGTGCATGGGAATATTTGCAAAAATTCTTTGAAGATTATTATGGCTGCATGAACTAATGTTTTATCTGTCTGTGCAAGTGGATTATAATATTTCTGTCTTGTTTGTTAAGTTCTGATAGCATGGATATTGCCATGGAAGAATGGGCTCGTAGCAGTCTGCTGGTCAATCGATTGAAAATAATAGATGATCTGAATGTATCGTACATCATAAATCACCTCATTCAAGACAGAGTTATCAGCATAGATGAATCTGAAATTATCAAGCATGAGGTCAGTGAGTTGAGCAATAAAGTAAACCTGCATAATATTTGTTTTCTCATTTTATTTTAATAATTTTTGATCAAGACCTTTAGTTTTAAACTGCTTTTTGCTGGAAGGTTGTGTTCTTGTTTCCAATCACACAGTATTATACTCTTTCACAGATTACTCACCGATTCCAAGCAGCCAAGCTTCTCGACATGCTTGGGAAAAAGAATCAGTTTGCTTACTTCAGTTTTTACCGCTCCCTTGAGGATTACTATCCGCATTTAGCGGAATTACTCAATAATGACATTCCAGATGATGAAAGAGATGCTGCAAGCATTCCTCAACGGAAGATGAGTTATAGTACCATTGGTGCAGGTGAGTAATTGTATGGATGGTTTATCTCACTTCCTCAAGGGAAGAGGAGTTATAGTTCCATGGGTCAACTTGGGCTCTAAACATTCAAGATGGTGGTAATCAGTGTGTTGTTTCATTTGTTTGTGTATATAGGAATGTTATTAAATTATAAAATAAGGTTTTGTTATGATACTTTCCAATAGTGGAATCAATGCTGATTGAAGGAGGAATACCCCCTAGACCTCATGTCTATATTGACAGACCAGAGGAGCTTGCCGAAATAAGAAAAGCACTATGGCAGTTGAAGGACCACGCAGGTTGGGTAATGGTGCATGGTATGGGTGGCAGTGGTAAAACTGTCATGGCAACAGAAGCTGTACGAGATCAAGAATTGGTAGCTGGTAATTTCATGTCTGTAACAAACATTATTGACACAAGTGAAATATTCTGAGATTCACTGTTTTTAGAGACTTGTGTTAAGTTTTGAAAACCTATGTTGATTTCTGTTATCATCTGTTGTTTGTAGATATTTCATCCAAGTTTAAAAATCATGCGTATGAAAGACAAGGTCTCAATAGTTTTACTATGTTTTTGTTGCATTTCAGAATGTTTTCCTGGTGGGGTATTCTGGGCTCCAATATGTCAAATTGACAGACCACAATGTTTGATGAAAATGCAGAACTTGTGTGCCCGGCTGGACAAGGAAGAGAGAAAAGCTCCTCAGAATATTGAAGAAGCTAAAGATAGACTTAGAACCATATTCCTGCATCAGCATCCCAGGTAAAAATTATTGCAGGACACATTATAATATTATTTTATGCAAGTGAAGCATATAGGTAGCTAGAAAGTAACATGTACGGCAGCTGTCTTGGTGCTGTTTGTAGGTACATATACATATGCTGGGTATCCTAACATGTATTCTTCTGGCACTGTAAATGTTATTTTGGCTTTTTTAGCTCCGCTGTCAACTTTGTCGAGTGGAGTGTATCATATGGGTGATTGTCTGTCACCCACACCAACTATTTCAACTTCTTCTTGAAAACTACAAGCCTCATTGCTTTGATACGTGCAGGTGGTATATTTACCTTGGTAGACCTTACTAAAATTTGTTCATTTCATGATGATGTCTATAATTCTCTAATTTTGGTGAATTAATTTTGTGATTTTTGGTAAAAAGTGATATTTTTGACTTCTTGTTGATACTATACATATAGGTACTACAGGTGGACCTCTCTTAGTTTGTGATGATATCTTCAATTCTCTAATCTTGATGAATATTTTAGTCATTTTTTCAATTCTTTAACTGAAATGTGCATTGCCAACAGCATATCAAACAAATGGACATGGACGATGTTGACATTGAGATTTATTTCTGTGTCTGGACTGGACTGGTATATAGGCTGCTCTTGTTTGATTTTTGTGAATATTAATGATCTGATCTGCATAATTGGCTAATTTTATAGTTTTCCACTGATTTCTGAAAAAACAGAATTCATATATGTTCTCTGGGATAATCAGTAGACCTAAATAGTTGTGAGTTGAAACCATGCATATTAATCACCTGATTTGCATAATTAACGAATATTAGCTTGCTCCCCTGATTCCAGAACTGCTCAGCAGGGCATTCATGACAATTAAAATCTACAAATCTATGTTGATTACTGATGTTTAACTATAATTGTTCTCGTCATACAGGTTCATATGATTATTTACTTGCATGGTAAAGAAGGAAAATTCTAAGGTCTGTTTCCTTCTCATTTACTTACTATATGCTGATCATTATTTTGTTTCAGATCTTTGTTGATAATTGATGATGTCTGGGATAAGCAGGTGTGTAAAACGTTTGATATCCAAGCCAGAATAATGGTTACAACAAGAGACTCTACTGTCACAGATCTTGTGTCTGGTAAGTAACCATTCACTAAAAAAATTGTGAAGCAAATTAAAATTGGGGGGGGGGGGTCTGTTGTTTGGCCACCATTTGGGGATGAAAAAGTAACCATATGCCATATATATCACAGATGTAGTATAAGTTAAGTAACCACATAGCATATGTCTATTTGTAGGAAAAGTGATCAAGGTTAAAATCTCGCAAGGTTTAAAAGTAGAACAGTCTAAAGAAATGCTGGCAAACTATACAACAATGGAGGTGGATGACCTTCCTGATGAAGCTGATTCTTTATTTGAAGAATGTAAAGGTCTTCCACTCTGTATTTCAATGATTGGCGCTTTACTACAAGATCATCCGAATAGATGGAATTATTACCTGAAACAAATCCAATCAAAAAGATCAGATCGTGTCCGTAAAGCTTCAGCGTACGAGTACGAAACACTGGAAGATGCTATCAGTATGAGTATTACTAATCTACGCGATGAATTACGAGGGCTCTATCAAGATTTTGCTCTTTTTGATGAGTCCACAAGAGTGCCAGCTTCAGTGAGTTTATTCAGAATCATGTCATTTATTTGTTTCCACTCCTTCGTCTTGTGTGTGACTTTGGAATGTTTTCTGTCCATTTCATCCTGGGAAATGCATTATCCAAAGCCAAATCAAATGTGTGTGTATGAGCTGTAGGTGAGAACGATGTTATGTGTGAGCATCATATGTGATTTTTCTACGAGTTGCAGGTGAGCACCATATGTGAGTTATGTATGAGCTGTAGATTAGTTATGGGTGAGCTGCAGGTGAGCATGTACATTGTACTGTATGAGTTATGTCTGAGATGCAAATAAGCACTGTATGAGAGTTATACGTGTGAGATTCAAGTGAGCACCGTATGTGAGTTACATGTGAGAGATGCAAGTGAGCATCATATGTGAGTTATGTGTGAGCTCCAGCTGAGCACTGTATGAGGGTTTTATGTGAGAGATGCCAGTGAGCACCATATGTGAGTTACATGTGAGAGATGCAAGTGAGCATCATATGGGAGTTATGTGTGAACTCCAGCTGAGCACTGTATGAGGGTTGTATGCGAGATGCCAGTGAGCACCATATGTGAGTTACATGTAAGAGATGCAAGTGAGCATCATATGTAAGTTATGTGTGAGATTCAAGTGAGCACCGTATGTGAGTTACATGTGAGAGATGCAAGTGAGCATCATATGTGAGTTACATGTGAGAGATGCAAGTGAGCATCATATGGGAGTTATGTGTGAACTCCAGCTGAGCACTGTATGAGGGTTTTATGTGAGATGCCAGTGAGCACCATATGTGAGTTACATGTGAGAGATGCAAGTGAGCATCATATGTAAGTTATGTGTGAGATTCAAGTGAGCACCGTATGTGAGTTACATGTGAGAGATGCAAGTGAGCATCATATGTGAGTTATGTGAGCTCCAGCTGAGCACTGTATGAGGGTTTTATGTGAGAGATGCCAGTGAGCACCATATGTGAGTTACATGTGAGAGATGCAAGTGAGCATCATATGTGAGTTACATGTGAGAGATGCAAGTGAGCATCATATGTTAGTTATATGTGAGCTCCAGCTGAGCACTGTATGAGGGTTTTATGTGAGAGATGCCAGTGAGTACCATATGTGAGTTACATGTGAGAGATGCAAGTGAGCATCATATGTGAGTTACATGTCAGAGATGCAAGTGAGCATCATATGTGAGTTATGTGTGAGCTGCAGGTGAGCACTGTATGAGAGTTTTATGTGAGCGATACCAGTGAGCACCATATGTGAGTTACATGTGAGAGATGCAAGTGAGCATCATATGTGAGTTATGTGTGAGCTGCAGGTGAGCACTGTATGAGAGTTATGTGAGAGATACCAGTGAGCATCATATGTGAGTTATATGTGAGAGATGCAGGTGAGCATCCTATGAGAGTTATGTGTGAGCTCCAAGTGAGCACTGTATGAGAGTTTTATGTGAGAGATACCAGTGAGCACCATATGTGAGTTACATGTGAGAGATGCAAGTGAGCATCATATGTGAGTTATGTGTGAGCTGCAGGTGAGTACTGTATGAGTGTTTTATGTGAGAGATGCCAGTGAGCACCATGTGTGAGTTATACAAATCACATGTTTGCCAGTGAGTAAACTGAGTACAACATATATTGCTGTGGGAATTCATAATGCCATGGTAACATACAACCTAATTATTTCATTACCTTGAACCTATGTTACTAAACTAAGATTATTGGATTTGTGTTTTTTCATCTCATCAGGTTTTGTCTATTTTGTGGGATGAAGAAATTGAAATAGTTGAAGATACTATGTTGGAATTGGTTAATAAATCATTAGCCATGCAGATATATGACAAAATACAAAAATGTTATCGATATAGTGTTCATAATTTACAGTTGGATGTACTTGTGAAAGAGTGTCCTGACATAGCAGTAAGTATCATTAAAGGACATACATTGAAACTTGTGGTATTTTACTTGTGCAGAGATTATGGTTATAGCCATTAAATTGAAAGTGCCTGTCTAAAAATAGCAGTTCTAGTCTGTAGCCATAAACTTGTAGTCTATTTTTAGTCCTAGTTCAGATACAGTCTGAAAACGAGGACTTATGGATTGACCTCTGTCTGTGCGTCCATGTGTTCGTGTGTCTGTGTGTGCGTCCACACCTATAACCTAGACATACCTGGACAAATTACATTCAAACTTCACACATACATCATACATAATGTTATACGTATGCACCTCCATTTGTTTCACGATCTGATTCAAGATGGCCGAGTGGCAGCCATTTTTGTACTGAAATCAAGCATTTCTGGCATTCCATAACCGGATCTCAGCTGTATACAGATGGATTTTGTTATACTTGGTACATACATTGGACATTGATGCACATCATTTTGTTTTTCAGATCAGATTCAAAATGGCTGACAGCTGGCCATTTTGTTTTAATGAATGTGGTTCTAAGGCTATAATATCTCTGACATGCTTTGACTGATTAAGTTCAAATTTTATATATTCATTATACATCATGTCATAGATACACAGATGTATTCAAAATGGACAACTGGTGGCCATTTTATTTTGATTATCGCATTATCTCTCAATATGGACAAGTTTGATGATCAAATACAAGATGACTGAATGTCAATCATTTTAATGTAAAAAAAATCATCATAATCAAGCATCAGTTTCTGGATCCATTTCTCTGACATGTTTTTGTTCCAACTATATTACTATAAACAAAACTATATATCTTAAATTTGATAACAAATGAGGACTGTGCCATGCATGGATTGTTTTGTTGATTATTCATGTTTATTTTGTTAATTACAGGTAATTTTCATAATAAAATATGGAGTGCCTATCTAAAATGACTGGCCAACTAGTGAATGATTACTGCCAGTGTTTTTTATCAAGCTGTGTACTGAAAAATGTTGTCATTGACAAATAAAGTTCCTATATACGTAAATAAGTTGTTTCAGATAAAGAAGTAAATAAAATGCACAATAACAGTTGAACATATGCCACATTGCACCAATCATCTAATAGTGGCAAGTGATTTAGAAGTCTATTTGATGTTTTCTTTTTACATAAAAGTCAGTTGCACCATCTGACAAGAGCACACCCTGGTTCAATGTGTCAGTGAATATTCATATTCTATATTGTAGGCTTTACACAGGAAGCTTGTCAATCAATATCACAAGTCTTGTAATGGTAACTACCACCAGCTGAAAAATGATTATTATATTCATTGGTATTTAGCAAGACATATGAAACAAGCCAAAATGGATAAAGAACTCTGGAACCTTCTTCTAGACATCCACTGGGTAGAATCCAAAATACAAGTTACCGGACCATCTGATTTGTTGACGGAGTACATCAAGTTTACAGATTCACTAGAACCACAGGTTAGAGTTACTCTATTGTAGTATCAATTAATTAGTTATTGTATATTTTCACTGTAACATAATTTGTCTGCGAACGCTAAAGTCAACTTGTGTCACGTTTCACAAACTGAACCTGAATAATTTTTTTCTAGAAGTATTCCTGGCATTCTTTATTATTATAAAACTATGTACAGTATACCGTATTTACTATATAAGAAGTGTATCTCAAATAAATGTACATGCTGAGTTATTAAAATATGACTATGTCTAACAATACACAAACCTCTGGTGATTACATAAGCACATGTGCTACTAATATAGCAAATATGGTATTGATGCTGGTTTGGTTTGGATGAACCAATCAGGAAAATTCTTTATTAGCACTTAGAAATGCTTTAAAACAATTTTTGGCAATTTTTTGTAAGTGGGCGTCAACCCTTTTTAGGAACTATTTAATTATTATTCAACTAGACCATGACATAGCAATATTCCATGAACTCATTGATGACACACAGAACTAACAAACTAACAGTGAGTTGTAGTATAGGCAAGGTGGTATAAGTTTCATTAGGTTTTAGATTTCAACTAGCTGGGTAGTTTACACAGAATACAACTCAGAAAGCCTGCAGAAAAAAAATTAAAATGCAGAGTCAATAATTAGATACATGTTATGACTTTGTAGAATTAGTATACCTCCCTTTCAGTATTATGGTAATATATTTTCAAAAGCAGCAAACTAATCATCTGCAGTTTGTTTTTCTTTGCATTGGAATCTTTTTCAGTTTGTGCCGATAGAAGTGAGTAAATTGTTACACCAAGTCTCAGATGTTTTCAGACAGCAAGTTATCAAACTTGCTCACTATTTCACTTACAACATTGATTTTAACTATTACATGTAGTAAATGGCCTTACCTTTTCATCTTTCTCGCTCAAATTTGTCTGCACTTTTTTTTTTTATTCTTCAATATTTCTGGAAATGAACCCTAATTTTGGAGCCAACAGAAAAAATTTGAGTAAATTTTCAGTTTTTACTCAAAAGAATTGGCTATTTTTGTATCAATATTCTGAAGGAAAGTGCAGACTATAAACAGAACTATTTTGTGAATTTGTGATGAAAAGAGGAAACTGGTGATGAAAGCATTAATATTCATCGTTAATCGATTAGAGAACTCTCACAAATAACTTCGTGACATTTAGGTGAATATTTTTGTATTGAATATTGCAGCAGGCATGGATGTGAGACCCAAATTACTAGAAAAATAATATACATGTAGTATATAAATCTATTTTGATTGTGATCCTCATCAATTCACTATGTTCAATTACCCACCATAGACTCCGGTCAGTCAAAATGACTATTTTGAACTGTAGACATTAATCAGCGATTCTGCCAATGACGGAGAGATGGAATCTACATGTAGGTCAGGGGAAGCCCCATGACCCCAAGATTCTTTTCCTTTACGTCACGAAACACGTGACCGAGACCATATGGCGGCACCATTATTCACCCTGCTTTTTTCTCCGCATCGAGTGGGGATAAAGTTTAGCGACTCTGCCTGGATCGCTTGCTTTTTCTTGTCCGGGTTTCTAGCTTGGGTTGTTGCCGATGCCGCAGCATCCAACATTGTAGCTGGTAGTTTTCCTTGTCATTTTTACCCTTGTGTCGCTTTCCCCTTTGTGTGTAGCATTTTTCACAACAAAGAAATAAAACCCGGCGTCATAGCTTAATCAATCGTTGATTTCGTTACGTCACCTTTTCCAACTGTAATTCGCTTCCCTCATGCATGCCGTCTTCATTTTATGCTTGATCTATGTATTTAGAAATGGATAGATGTAATGACAGCACCAGAGGCTCGCTGCCGTTTTTTGCTTCCTCGTTTTTCGAGATGACTGTGCAGTGGTTATATTCAGAATTTACCAGCATAGAACCCGCATCCGAAATGCTTTTTGCCGTGGCTGTGTGTGGGTTTCGGGAGCCATCAAAATCACTGAGACTGACCGCGTCGCTCAGATTTTGACAGCAAGGTCACGCGTCCAGTAAAAATCGATTAAGGTGAGTTGCGTGTTTGGCATGAGTGGAAAGTCCTCACGCTCGGCTACCGGTACGAGACGTCGAGTAGGAGGCCCAATGGTGGAGGTACCGATATTTTTTTTTTCGATTTTACTGGCTACAGCGAGGCTGTGCCTCTGGTGGTCTTTCCTCCTATGGGGCCCGTTGCGAGTCCCTTTGTGGATCCTCCCTCGCACGGCGCCGGGTTTGCCTTTGAGATGAGGGCTTTGGTCGAAGGACTGTCGGGGCAAATTGCATCCCTGGCAGGTAGATCAGGTAGATCAAACACAGTCGGAGCGAACTGTCTCCACTGCGGCCCCTCGGTGGGCAAGCAGGAAGAAACACGAAAGCATCGCTTGCATTCAAACACGTCTCTTCCGGGGAACCTCCCGTTCCCAGCTGTGGCTCTCCCGCTGATTTGGATGAGGCCAAGGCTCAGGCTAGTTGTACCGGGTCTCCTCTGGGGCCTCGGGCACTGAATGCCAACGAGGATGCTGGCAGCCAAGCCTCCGATTTCGGGGCAGGGTTTTCGGGTCAGGGCGCACGTTGCACCTCCCCCCTACTTTCAGCCAGCCAGGGTTCGTTGCACGGTAATGGTACAACGGTAACGAATTTACCCTTGTGTCCGGTCTCCGCTGTGGGTTTTGACTCCCTTCTTACCGACCCACGGTCATCCCCAGAGGGAACTGACCCTGTCATGGGACGCACAGTCAAACACACTCTTTCTCACATATTCAAATTGAAAGGAGACAGTTCGCTCACGACGGATACAGCCGGTACCTCGGGCGGTCCCTCAGAGTCTTCCATTCGTAACGACTTGGTGAGCCACGCCATTGGGGTGATGTGGAGTATCATCGATCCTAGTGATAGGATGTAAACACCCCCACCCTTGATGCTAAGGCGACCACTTACGCTTACTTTAACGCTCACGGGCATCGGGATCCAAAGCAACCCCGTCGGCACGTCTCTTCCTGTCTGGGCGAGTTGGGGCGCAGGGTGTGCAAACGATGTTGATGGGCGAACGTTGGTCAGCCCCGGAGGAGGTAATGCTTAATGCCCTCCGAAGGGGGTTAGATCTTATGCAACACTTTCCGCTGGACCAAACACTACCATGTCGATGTGGTTTCGGGATCAGACCCCAAAGTGTGGGATGAGACCAAAACACCCCCAACCGGATCCAAGGCTCCTTCCCCAGACCTCGGTACCAAGAATTTCCATTTGGCAAATCTGAGATGATCCATCACGCCCTGAGGGCAGAGTTGCTTGAGCGCATTATTGTGCGTGCCCAGGACCCTGAGACCTTGAAGGCAGAACGCACTGCCTCCTAGACTAGACAACACATTTACTGGTGGGCCACCCCACATCTACGTGCGACCTCCCCTCGTGTCACCTTGCTCTCTTTGCCGGGGCCACTACTGTGCAACAAGACGTGGTTATAGGCGTGTGTGTTTTGGCCGGCAAGCTGAGTCAGGGGGACGATCAAATCCGCTAGCCAGTTGGCCCTGCCAAGGGTAAACGGAGGGCACCCCAAGCACAGAAAACACAACGCCCTAGGGCGTCGTCCGCTAGCCAGAGTCAGCCAGGAGGCAAGCGCTCATACCCTTCCATGGGAGGGAATAGTAGCGGCACGCCCCCAGGGAGGAAGGGTCCAGGTGGTGACTCCTCACCCTCCTCGGGCGGTCGTCCACCCCAGCAGTGGGGGAAGCATGTTTGACGCTTACCTCTGCGACCGGGGGGACAGGCATATGTTCGGCGAATGTGGAGCAAACCGCACACCACCTTCCAGGGGTGAGGAATAGTCTGGCAGATGCCCTTTCAAGGCGGCTCTGTCTCCAGAACTCAGAGTGGCTGATACCCCAGTGGGTAGCCTCCAGGCTGTTCGGCTGTAAGATGGTCCAAAGATAGACCGGTTTGCCACACCCCGGAACGCCAAGCTCCCGACGTACATAACACTCCTGCCGACTCCAGGAGTGGACCCACTAACGTATCCTACATTTCTAGGTTGCGAGCATACACTGATTGGTGTAGCGAAAGGGAGATTGATCCATACCATCCCTCTATTGCCCAGGTAGCAAA